TAGCGTGTCTGCCAGTTTGTATTCTTCGGTTGTGTGCAGAAGTTTTCTTAATCTAGTTACAAATCGTCTCTAATGTTCAGGCAATATTTTATCTAAATACCTTTCGTTACAAAAAAATCACATATACAGACATATAAATAAACACATGTTTCAACATATTAAATCAATTCAAAGCTGCATTCCTCCAGGTAAACGAAAGCATTTCAAGAAAATCAAACTTGCGAAAAAATGGAAAAGATTCAAGTAATAATCTACGTGATATATGCGATTAATGCATGATTTTGTTTCGTATTTATTACCATACAGATTGATTGTATTTCTTTATGCGGGATAGAAATCTTACAAAGAACCAGGAATGTATATTATATATAAACGTTCCTGAAAAATCGAAAACCATGTGGCAATGACTTTTTTCAAATATTAAGATTCACAATAGACGAAAATAAGATTTGTGTTGATATTACAAATCTATTCTTATAAAAAATATATAAAAGTATTATAAACGTAAAAATATTATTGCCTTGTACATCCATTTTCACAATTTTTATTAAAAATGCTTGTGGTTAATCTGTGCTTCGTAATAAATTGCTTAATATATATTTATAATATTATATATGTTAATTGACTCAGAGACATTTTGCAGACGTATTTATGTAAACTAATTATAATCTTTACTGTCACAGAATTTATTTCATTAATACAAAGAGCGACGCTGGGACAATTAACAGGGTCATATGTTGAATATACCATAATGCGGCACAGGGCCATAATATCATAAATCAAACAGGGTGCATAACATTAATTACATCAGATTACGTCACTTGTGCTAGTTATTTAATTATGATCATTCTAGGTGCTTTATGACATTGGCCATGTCTCATAAGAATGACTACCAACTGTATGGTATTAATAAACACAGTTGTTACAGAAATAATTATTTTTCAATTATTAACGAATTTCTGTGCACTTTTTTCACCTTGTTTATACATTAAATGAAGAAACATATTTTCTTTACAATATCTAATAAGCAAAATATGAAAAATATAAAATATTAAGTTGAAAAATTCAATATATTTTCATTGTATCTTTCATAAAATATGCAGTGCATTAAACTGTGAAGTGAAGTATGTATAATTTTATGACGATGCCTTTTATCTCTACTCAATTAATCCGCTGTGTGACACAATATATTTTTTGGAAGACTCAAACTTTTTTTATTGGCAAAAGCATTTTATAGTGTCCATCGCCATTATTTATAAGAAAAAAACCTGCAAAAATAAAAACATTTTCTTAAAATGTTTTTCATCTTATAATTGCTATAACTCGTGATATGGCGACTTTTATACCACGAGATGAAAAAGTCACATATTCATAAATTTTATTGATATTTATATAAAAATTTTTTTTTTTTAAAAATTGTATGTTGATGTTTTGTTTGACCTGACGCTTTAAAATATATCCCCAAAAAGCCCCATTTTTGCATAAACTTATTGAAATGAAAGCAAACACTTTGTTTAGGAAGCTGTATTCCCTATAATTGGTCAAGTTATTTTGGTCTTTTCTCTTAAAATTGCCGTTTCATGACAGTGTTTCGTACTGTGTTTACTGATATCGTGTGTAAAGATAATATATCTTATATGTCTGTATTAAATATGTTTATTTTACATTCAGAAAGAGAAATTATCAGTATTTTCAAATATCAAGTTTTAGCATAAATATTAAATCGAATTAAGGTGTTGAATGTTTTAATTGCATCATCATTATATTTTTCATTTACCATGATTGAATAATTTTGCACATCTAAATGTTCATCAAGTGATGTAACGTGAATTACTATTTTCAATGTTATAAGAAAAGATTATAGGAATCGTAGCCACAAAAGCCGGGATCGTATTAAAATATATATGGATCGAGGGAATTGACAAGCCCAAGAAGATAGATTTCAGAAAAGCCGGGATCGTATTAAAACATATAGGGATCCCAGGAAATGACCAGTTCAATAATATAGATTTCAGAAAACCGGGATCGTATTAAAACATATATGGATCCCGGGAAATGACCAGTTCAATAATAAAGAGTTTAGAAAAGCCGGGATCGTATTAAAACATATATGGATCCCGGGAAATGACCAGTTCAATAATATAGATTTCAGAAAAGCCGGGATCGTATTAAAACATGTATGGATCCCGGGAAATGACCAGTTCAATAATATAGATTTCAGAAAAGCCGGGATCGTTTCCAAGTTTATTTGATTATCTCAGTATGCATACAAATACATAAACACGAGAAAAATAATCCTAAATATATATATGAAACCATGACACAGAGGACAACATTCATTCAAAAATATGAATTATGAATCGCAACTAAATTTCTTTTGTATATTAAAGAAAGACAGTACTGAATCAAAATGTCTAGACTAAATTGTTTACAAATATCATCTGTCAACTTTAACCTTTTCTTAACCTGAATTATATTGTATTGTGATTGGTCACCTGTTGGCACGCGCTTTCTACTGTGCCGTTAAATAAACTTCTGTAATTTACACAAAAATATGTCATTGGGTCAGTAGGTGTATTGTGTCTGCACGCGGTATAGTTTCAATATAAATATAGTGCTGTGATGATTTCGTTCGTGTGGCAAAAAAATGGACTTAATTAACCTGCAAAAAGTAAAAGAGAAGAAATAAATCTCTGCTGATCTTGGATTATTATCTGGTTACTGATTTCTAGCGATGTAAGGCTGCAAAATTTACGAATGTGACGGGAAGGGTGAGTAAATATTGGTTTTATTTTGTAAACATAAGAATTAAGGGGGATTTCCCCGGCCCCTTATGCATTTATAATTGCTGTGAATTATCTGATAAGGGTGGGAATTTTAATATTTTCAAATATCCCTCATTTGTCATAAACGGTGTGCGTTTGATCAGCCCTTAAACGAAATTGAAATATTAAGGGCTTTGCCTCGCTACAGGTCTTCTTTCTGTACTGTCTTCTTAATTACAGTTTAATTAAGGTCAGTTAGGTTCAATTAAGCCGGTAATTAAGTAACTTAAAAATAAACAACTATATGAAGGAAATACAGAAGATATATCTGTTACTGGTATACACTATTATCATCTTCATTCATGCTTTTAAATAAGTATTGTCCTCTTTACAAATTTCAAAGTAGAATCTATAATTCATCGAATTAGACGTACAGATAAAGAGTAAATTCTCATTCGGTCTATTGGCCATAATCACTAGACACCTTCAATACACCAATGTTTATTAACACCAGGGACGGCACGTTCTTGGTCCTGTACAGGGCATATTTATAAGGAAAATGAGGTCCGCTACAGTTCCTTTTCATTTTATAATTAAATCGCCAAAATATGCATAGATAAATAATTTGTTCTTCTTATAAAAATATTCATTTTAGACATTCATATCTGTTAATATGTGAAACATGTTATTTTCATATGATCCATGGATCTTGATTAATTGTTTATACATCTGTACTATATACCTTATGTTTAACATTTGTATTCCTTTTTTTTTTTTTTTTTTTTTTTTTTTGCAACGTGAAAGCCTTCTGGTATAGTATATATCATTAAAAAAACAACAATGTGATGTTCGAGACATTTGTTAATATGCAGATAAATCAGCATTTTATATAGTATTTTACACATCTTTTATTTAAAATAAGCATAGCAAGTCGGACTTGTATTTACAATAATTATTTATAAATACTCAAGCATAACGGTCGCAAAAAAACGTTGATTTTCCTACTTAGATATATAAGAGATCCCGGGACATCGTATTTAGAAAATCCGGGATCATATCCCGAGAAATTTACCATTACCATCTTGCTTTCAGAAAAGCCGGGATCTATTAAACAGTACAGAGAATTGACCACCTGTCATACATCTCAAAAGTTTTTTTTTGTTATCAATTATGATAAGTATATCTTATGATCTTTTCTAAAAATAATATTTAAATACATGAACATAAAATTTAACCAATTATTGTATTAACAAAAACTTTGATTTTTTTCAATTAGGCATATAATTACAAGTATTGTGATTTCCGCATTTTAAGTTTGTTAATAAATAAATATATTTAAATCTTAAGTTAAATTAATTTACCATTCATTACATACAATAAAAAATAAAAAGTTATCGTTTAACCGCCTTTCATTACGACGATAATCAACACAAATATAGTTTATTCGTTTTCCCTATATATCTAATACGATCCCGGATCCTGGGCGTCCCGGATCCCGGTATTTTCCCCCCACCTATAAATTACCTTTAAAAAGTTTCAAAATTATAAAAAACAGGGTTCTTAACTATTCTCAGTGCTTAATAGTAAATCAAGAGCCTGGATAATGTAGAATTTTTAATTTGTAAAAGGGCCATAATTCTGTCAAAACTATACTCTTAAATTTTCTTTTTATCTATGTTCTTTTTCTAAATAAACAACAAATAATTTATGTCACTACACACTACATGTAAGTTTAAAATATATTTCTATAGTTCTATACAGTAACACTAAGTTATTACAAGCTGTAATACACAAACACATTGCTGACCAATTTTTGGCTTTCTATGTCAAAAACATTTTGTATAAATAGATCTAGATAATAGATTATTTTTCACAACTTTGATTTTGATGTGTATGTTGTATAATATTATAAATTATTAGTCAGGCCACAGACCTACATACACTATTTCAACTCCGTGGTCAGGCCAACTGAAAACATCAAATACAAGAAATTACACACGAGTTGACCTCTGGCATGTGCTTTCATAATCTGTTAAATTAAATAAAAAATCATAAAGTAGAGTAGATGCTAAAAGTAGTGTACGAATAAATAAGGTGACGAATAAAAATAACAAAACCATAAGATCTAGATTATTGTAATCAAAGTTTGAGTTACAGATATGTTTGCTTTCTGTAAGTGACATAATACATAAGAAACTTAACTTACAAATTTTCATTTATAAACAATATAATTACCAGATATCCACTTTGAAAAAAAAAAGTATCGATAAAATGTTTCCTCTTCTTCCCGAAGACGGTGCTCATGTAAATTTCACCCACTTAAAATTAAGTAGGACAATAACAAAATCAGCTGATAACTGCACAGATCTTGCCATTAGTGAGGCTTGGTACCAAAGTACGAAGTTTTGATAATATATTCATGTAAAAGCAAATATTTCAACATTTAAGTTCATTGCTAGGAGATACAACAGGAAATGCAAAAAAGAAAAACTAAAAATTCTGCAAATATTGTGATCTTCACGAGGTGTAAATTTCACAGTTCCTGAAATTGGGTCAGAAAAACAAAACTATCAGACTGAATTATTTCATGATTTCTAATGTGTGCATGTAAGTTAAATAAGTTGTCTCCTAAGTATCACTAGGTATATGGGTTTAACTATTGTTATACTGTAGATAACACGGATATACAAACTTATTGTGTGTTAGAAATTATGTTTATGTTCTTAGTTCTTACCAGTTCAGTTGGTCATGTTGATTCTTTGACAATTGACACAAATTATTCAATTGTATAACCAGATGAAGTGTACTTAATTAGATTCCATGGGTTGCTGGGCTACACAGAAACCATTGGTGCTTGGTGCGATACTAGTGTCCTTTTTGTAATGAATGTATAAAACACATACTGCAGCAAAGTCCAGTGTTTATTTTATTTCTTTTATTAATTATCACTCTGTGTGCAAAAAAATCATATTGTCCACATATATACTGCAGTAAAGTTTCACAGCTAGCACCTGAAACGTCTTATGTTAATTCTTCTTTTTCATATTCAATTTTAAAGTAGAGACCAGATGTTTGTTATGTGTCAGAATTTAATAAAAGGACTTGATATTACTTCTTCAGATTACATTTGTAGTTATAAGACTGTATTAAAAATGTACATTAAGAATAAAACAAGAATATGTTTTCTTAATAATTATGCTTAACATCATATTTAGTTATAAGTGTCATTTTATAAATACTGTATGGCTTGCTTTATATAAAGACTAGGAAATTGATAATCAGCCTACAATAGCAAGCCATTTAGGTAATAAAATCAAAAGGTGATAATGTTTTCTTTTTAGACATCTTTGACATATTTTATTATAAAATGATCTGTTGAGAATCTATCAAAGTACTTATATAATACAAAATTCTTTAATGATTGTTGAAAATGTTTATTAAGGTTTGTTTTTTATAATTAATGCAATTTGACCTAGAAAATTCTATGTTACATTAATTTATACATGTGAACTTTTTTCGATGATCAAGTGGGAGATTTTTCTTCAAAAAGAGGGAGAGTTTAGAATTTGCAATAAACAATTCAGGAAGTTCTGACATCAAAAATAGGGAGATTTCTTAAATTTGTGAAAATACCCCTTATTTTAAGAAAAATCTTTGAAAATATGGCTGCAGAAAGAGGAAGTCTCCGGCTTAAAGTGGGAAAGTTCACATGTATGCTGAATAATATGATATGGTTTATTTACAGCAATTAAAGTAAAATGAGTATAATGTGTTGTGAGTCATTCCATATTTTGATCTATATGATGTACCAGTCAATGTTAACATAATTCAATAAATATGCATCTTCAGACTCACATCAAAGGGAGGAATGAGGACTTTAACATATGGTTATTAAACCATTGAGGTTAAGACCCTGAATGACAATTGCTGGAACTGTTGTCTGGTAAAATCCCAGTAAAATAAGTTGGGTGACCGTGAACATCATAAATCATTCCTTTCTGAGACATAATGTGCCTTTTAAAAATTAAATCCCCAGAAAAACGAATCTTTAAGAATGAACAGGATGTAGCATGTTAATTATAGAAATTATTACAAGAAAATAGTTTCTATATTTCTGTTGCTGATGTCGAAAAACATATCTCTTTGTATTTATGTTACATGCTTTCTGATAAATAATTTTAATACCTTTATGATTAACCAAATATTAACACCTTTGCTCAACCATTCCTTGATGTTAGCACCTTGGTCCTGTTTGAACTAATAGTGGGGATTGACAAACACTGTAGTACAGTTGTAGAAAATAGATAACCGTTTGTTTACTGTTGAAGAAATATTGGGATCTATAAAGTCTCTGGAGGTCAAAGTTGACAAATTTATTTGAAAAAGAAATGTCGAAGCTATGCACTACACTCAGAGGCACTTATAACCCGACACTTACATTTTTCGGTATAACTTGGTTATTTTGTGAACAGATTTTGTTCAGTTTTTGAACAGACAAAATTCAACATGTCATACTTATTTCCTAGAATTTTTCTTCCAATTCATTAACAAGAAAATAGAGAAAATAACAAAACAAATAATTGTTACTGCACATTGAAAAATCCCAAAATGACTGTTAATATCGTAACACAATGAAAAGTCTCTAAATCCAACTGATTCTGTATAATAACCAGTTCTAATACTTTCTGTGTCATCCCATGGATATAACAAAGTTTAAACACATGTCTCAAGGTAATGACATAGTGAAGGCTTGGGGAATATTTCTCCATTCCGGAATAATGGCTTCCTCGAGTTCCGGCAACTCCTACATACCAAGTCACCCGATCTAAACATCACACTGTCTGACACTTGTCGGCTGAATTGAACAGGCGTGTGAGAAAGTGGCCAAAAGCTCCTCGCAATTTTCTGGAACACGAGCAAGCGCTTATTTAGGAATAGAGAACTGTGAGGCAGAGGTGTTTTCTTTGTTATAGCCAAATGGGAGGAAATACAAAGTGTTAGAACAGGTAAACATACAGACTTAATGGGATTTAGAGACTATTCATTGTGTTATGATTTTTACAGTCATTTTGTGATTTTTCATGTTACAGTAACCTATTTGTTTTGCTATTTTTTCTATATTTTATCAATGAATTGTAAATATAATTACAAGTAGTAGGTATGATATGTTGAATTTTGTAAAAGTCCAAATTGTTCATGGCTTTATTACTTTATGAAAGCTTTATAACTTTATGAAAGGACAATAATACACGTACATGTAAATTACTTATTTGTATTAGTTTTAACTATGTAATGTTGATTTAAAGCCCCTACACTCACTGTGTTTGAGTCAGTACTGCTAATCCTTGATTTGTTGTAGAACCAGGCCTGCTTAAACATCCAGTCTGACCAGGCTCTCTTGTTTAGGCAAGTCATGTTTTAGAAATTTGATAGTGAAATCTATTAACAAAATGCTACGGTAATAATAATGGAAAGTTCCAAAGTAGAAACAGGAAAGGTTTAAGTAACCAGTGTTTTACTAGTTACTCAGATTCAGGTCAATATAATTAGGAAATGTAGGAATCTAAATAAAGGCCCTAATTTGCTTCAGAAATGCTACCAATAATATTATATCAAAAACTTATAATTTTAAGTAAAGTAAATTGGAAGAGGAGAAAAACCCACAACTAAAATCAGTTTGTGAATTTTTAATAAAAATATTGGTAACCGTTTTTGAAAAAGTCAAACAAAATCTGGCAATTAATTCAGAATTCAAATAAATTAAATATGTGGAAATTTATAGTAAATTACCATTATATACTTCTGTTACAAGCTTGCCAATGATGAATGGGGTTGATTAAGTATAATTTGATAAATGAGTTTTTAACTTTTTAACTCTGAAAATATTTGATATATATATATTTATTTTGATTTAATAGCATAACAATACTTTATACATGTATATAATATTACTTGATAGCATATCAAAGAATATCAAAATTGTGCAGCCCTGGATTCAATTTAAAATATTTATCGGATCCTTTCTGTATTATATTATAAAAGCATACAGTCATGTTATGGAAGAAACAGTAAAGCTGAAGATCAAAGAGCTTTAGTTGCCCTATTTGTTTAGGTCTTGAAAATATCCTTCAATACATGTTTAAAGTGGCCTTAAAGAAGCACGCCTTCAGATTCATGCTAATTTTCATGAAAATTTTGAAAATGAATTTGAATGTATAATATTGTGAAATAACCAAAAGGAAAAAATTTACACATTATCAATGACACTTACAACCCACGTAAATTACCAAAAAGTGGTCAAAATATGCATAAATAGCTCTTTCTGCGTAAGTAACGCAGTAGAAATATACTTGTAAATACCGACAAATCAGTCATTAACCTCACATAACAAGTAAAATATCACTTGAATCTTGAATCATTTTACTTTTCCTAAAATCTCTTTACATATTTCTCAAGTTTGATTTTATTAAATATTTTGACTCATCTGGAGGCATGCAGCTTTAAGTCAGCTTTTATTTCCTGTTGGAAAAACAATTCTGTTTTGATTTATAATGAATCTAAAAAAAATGTGCATCATAACACTGTTCAGACTTCTTCAAAACACTTAACACCGTCCTTAGAGCTATTTATTATGTATAAGGGCATTTCTAAAAATAGAAGAATAGGGAAGGAATTGTCTTCTTTTAATACTTAAGTCTAGACTACATATGGAGAGGGAACTGGTAGATTAAATGTATCAAGGGGTTTCCTTTTTATTTATGTATTTTAGCGTTGGCAAATTTTATTTTCCACCAGTCCTTAATTCTTTTGATTTGACAATTATGTGAAACAATTTATGTAAAAATAACATATTATATACTTTAAGAAAAGCTTTAACATCATGTGTACAATTATTCCAATATGATACATCTTTGAGTACTGAATGTCATCCATTTTAATTCTTTAAATAACAGAAGGAATGAATGATCACATTTTTTTTATCTAGTATCATTCTTGCAGCATCTTTTTGTTTATTATAAATCTAATTCTTATGTATATATTTTGCCCTAGGCTGAAGAGACTTTTCTACAAAAAAAGCATTTCTATATTTTGCTTATTGCTTCAAAATCGAAACCTTGGGTATACAATTCATATATAGGAATTACATGTAAATGTCAGTATTGTTTCTAAATGTCAAAATAGAAAATTAATTAAGGTTAGAGATCTGATCATGAATTATTACATTTTATGTTTAGGTTATAAGACCTTATAAAAGATAAACTGATTAGAACTAGAAATATTTATGAAACCTTGGCATTTTAAAGAAAATATTTTATATCCGTATATCTGCAATATTTATTTTTCTCAATGTCACTGACAGCTAAGTTACAAGTGCTTCTTTGAGTGATAAGTTTCACTTTTAGACAGTGTTTTGTTCTTAGGCTTATGGGCCCATAAACAAGATAGTGTTACCTCAATAAACATATTTACTGTAGCTTGATTGCGAAACCTATGAGTTTGTTTCCTCGAACCAACATGTTATGTCATATGAAGAAACATATTTCGTGACCCTATGAGGGCTCAAACCCATGATATCTAGGTGGAGAGGCAGACACCTTAACTACTCG